TAGTGTAAGAGTATATAGTAGTTGTGTGTGTGTGTGTGTGTGTGTGTGTGAGAGAGAGAGAGAGAGAGAGAGAGGCTAGGAAGTTAAGGTAGGTATTAGTCTTATGCAATGTTCAAAAAGTCGGCCGTCCAGCTGCCTAGGCAGACTTTTTCAAAAGTCTGCCTAGCCATGGTCAAGGCGGGCTGTATTAGGCGAAAATATAAGGCGCCCACTTAGGCGCCCGCCTGGGGGTGTAGAAGGTGGGCGCCTAGGAGCCGCCTATGACGTTGGCGGAAATGTTTTTTCGGGAGAGGAAAAAAAGTAATTTTACCCCCTTAAAAGGGGGGATAAGGGTTTAGGGGGCCATTCTTGCCCCCAAAAATAAATTTAGTAAACTTCAGAGTGAGAAACATCTTGAAACAAACTAGATTTGAAGATTTATTGAGAGATCGATATTTTTTCTCGAAATCCTCAAATAGTCACGATAGTAATGGATAATCATCCCCACTCTTTTTTCGGCTTATAGGGGTTGTAAAAGAGGAGATTTGGGATCCCAAACATTTCAGTTTGACCCGAAATGGAGTCCACTTCAAGAAGGTTGGTATATTTCAATAGTTTTTATTAGGTTTTGTATTTTTTTTCTTTTAATGTCTAAATAATGTTATTATTTGCTATTTGTATTTTTTTGATACTTTGTGATATATATTTGATATGATATTGTCTATTTGGATTATTATTTTCCTATTTTGATTTGTTGTTTGGGTCTTTGGGAAAACAATTTTATAAAAAAGGCCATTGCCCCCAAACTGAATCAACATTGTTTTTACTTCTTCTTTTTTAAGTTCTTACATGAATTTAGTTGTATGATTCACAACCATATATATTTTATTAGTTTGTTTAATAATTGCGTATTGTTTATTAAATAATTGCATGCGTAATACATTTTTTCGATTTATGATTCATAAACCATAATTTTTTATTAGTTAGTTTAATAATTTCTTAGTACTTATTAATTAATTGCATGTCTAATATTTTTTTTTCGATTTATAATTTATAAACCATTATTGCGTAATTGCTTATTGAACTATTTTTATTAGTTATTTAATATTTTCTTAATGCTTATTAAATAATTGCATGTGTGATATCTTTTTTTATTTTGTGTTATATCATTGCAATTTTGATGTGTAGGTTTTACCTATATTTATTATTTGGCTTAATAAGAACCCAATATATTATAATCATTTCATTTACAGTCTAAAGTCTTTTAAATGTTTATGTCTAAAAAAGTCTAATCTATACTTCTGGGGGGAGGTGTGGGAGATCCAAGTTTTGAAAAAAAAACAGCACTAGCTGTCTTTGGTCTAGGCGTCCTCCTAGGCGGTGCCTTAACGCCTAGGCAGCCCAGACCCCTCACCACCTAGGCGGCCACCTATGACTTCTGGAACATTGGTCCTACATTAACCATGAAAAAGAATGCGGCCGATAGCTAAGACACACACTCGTATGGGGAGTGATTTCATGTTACTGTTGCATTATAATTAATGAAACCACACTTTTAAAAATCATGTTCTTGGAATTTGTATGGACCCTAGATTTGTATTTGCACATCAAAATTTCAAAAAGAAAGAAGTTCGAATTTTTACCCCTTACAAAGACAAATTAGTCGTTCTCCATCAATGAATCTACACCTGTTCATTTGGTGGATATTGAAATCTGGACTTTTAAGAACTCAAAAATTTTGTTCATTATAATTGTTCATCTAATGTCTAGAAGGCCATCTACAAAATTTGGGATAAAAAGAGAATCCCTTTAGGGCCCAGATCTAAGCATCCCATCAAATGGATGGCCAATGTCATTGGGTTCATAGAAGTATTTTTTGTGGTGAGTTTTCAACATTTTCTTTGAGACTGTTCATCATAGTCACTTGATTGTATGTTCAGAAGTTAGGGCAAACAAGTGCTTCTGACATGGTTTTTGAAGATGTCTTACATTATATAAGTTAGTTGCATGAAATCACACCTCCAAGTGTGTGTGTGTGTGTATTGCATTTGATATGATATTGTATATATGTATATAAACATGGGTGCGGTTTGTATAGAGCCTCGGCTCTAAACAATCAAATTAGAGCCTACCTTCAAATAGTGTCGAGGTTTCAATACTGGAAATCTTTGTCATAGCCTTAAAATATATTTTCATCTTTATTTATAAAGTTTAAAACTTCAGAAATACTGTAGATCGACAAATCTATGAAAACTTGAAAATCTTTAAAATTGATGGTCCAAAAAATACGTTACAAAATATACTATTTCTAAAACTTGAATCCATTTTTTTCTCACGTCCATGCATCTTGATGTCGAAATGATCAATTTGAAGATATTTAGACATCAAAACAACCTCTTCTAGTGAAATTTTTAAGGTAGGCTCAAATTTGATTGTTTGGAGCCTTGGTTCTATATAAACTTTTCCCTATAAACATATATATTATGTATAATTTAAATAAAGACCCCACAGGGTTGGGACCGGATAGAGAGGACCTAGACCCAGTTGGGTCAAGGTCCAACTTGACCCTAACCCGG